ATCTATTGGAGTGACAAAAATCTCGACAATAGACTACCTTCCATAATGACAAGGCTACCATCAATTGGAGTAACAAAATCTCGATAACAGACTACCTTTAATTATGACATGGCTACTATCCATTGGAGAAACAAAAATCTCGACAACAAACTACCTTCCAAAATGATAAGGCTACCATCCATTGGAATACCAAAAATATCGACAACAAACTACGTGCTATAATGACAAGGCTACGATCCATTAGAGTAACAAAAATATCGACAATAAACTACCTTCCATAATGACAAGGCTACCATCCATTATAGTAACAAAAATCTAGACAATAGACTACCTTCCATAATGACAAGGCTACCATCCATTGGAGTAACCAAAATCTCGATAACAGACTACCTTCCATAATGAAAAGGCTTCCATCTACTGGAATAACAAAAATCTTGAGAATAGACTACCGTCCATAATGACAAGGCTACCATCCAAATGAATAACAAAAATCTCGAAAACATACTACATTCCATAATGACAAGGCTACCATCCATTAGAATTGCAAAAATCACGACAATAGACTACTATCCGTAATGACTAGGCTACCATCCATTAGAGTAACAAAGATATCGACAACAAACTACCTTCTATAATGACAAGGCTACCATACATTGTAATAACAAAAATCTCGACAACAAACTACCTTCCACAATGACAAGGCTACCATTTAAATGTAGTAACAAAAATCTCGACAACAATAGACTACCTTCAATAATGACAAGTCTACCATCCATTAGAGTAACAAAAATCACGACAATAGACTACTTTTTGTAATGACTAGGCTATCATCTATTAGAGTAACAAAGATATCGACAACATACTACCTTCCATAATGACAAGGCTACCATCCATAGTAGTAACAAAAAGCTCGCCAACAGACTACCTTCGATAATGACAAGGCTACTATCTATTGGAGTGACAAAAATCTCGACAATAGACTACCTTCCATAATTACAAGGCTACCATCCATTGGAGTAATGAAAATATTAACAAGAGACTACCTTCCATAATGACAAGGCTACCATCCATAGTAGTAACAAAAAGCTCGCCAACAGACTACTTTCGATAATGACAAGGCTACTATTTATTGGAGTGACAAAAATATCGACAATAGACTACCTTCCATAATGACAAGGCTACCATCAATTGGAGTAACAAAATCTCGACAACAAACTACCTTTGATTATTACATGGCTACTATCCATTGGAGTAACAAAAATCTCGACAACAAACTACCTTCCAAAATGATAAGGCTACCATCCATTGGAATAACAAAAATATCGACAACCAACTACGTTCCATAATGACAAGGCTACGATCCATTAGAGTAACAAAAATATCGACAACAGACCACCTTCCATAATGACAAGGCTACCATCCATTAGAGTAACAAAAATCTCGACAACAGACTATCTTCCATAATGACACGGCTACGATCCGTTAGAGTAACAAATATTTCGACAACAGACTACCTTCCATAATGACAAGGCTACCATCCATTGGAGTAATGAAAATATCAACGAGAGACTACCTTCCATAATGACAAGGCTACCATGCATTGGACTAATGAAAATATTAATAAGATACTACCTTCCATAATGACAAGGCTACCATCCATAGTAGTGACAAAAAGCTCGCCAACAGACTACTTTCGATAATGACAAGGCTACTATCTATTGGAGTGACAAAAATATCGACAATAGACTACCTCCATAATGACAAGGCTACCATCAATTGGAGTAACAAAATCTCGACAACAAACTACCTTTGATTATTACATGGCTACTATCCATTGGAGTAACAAAAATCTTGACAACAAACTACCTTCCAAAATGATAAGGCTACCATCCATTGGAATAACAAAAATATCGACAACCAACTACGTTCCATAATGACAAGGCTACGATCCATTAGAGTAACAAAAATATCGACAACAGACCACCTTCCATAATGACAAGGCTACCATCCATTAGAGTAACAAAAATCTCGACAACAGACTATCTTCCATAATGACACGGCTACGATCCGTTAGAGTAACAAATATTTCGACAACAGACTACCTTCCATAATGACAAGGCTACCATCCATTGGAGTAATGAAAATATCAACGAGAGACTACCTTCCATAATGACAAGGCTACCATGCATTGGACTAATGAAAATATTAATAAGATACTACCTTCCATAATGACAAGGCTGCCATCCATAGTAGTGACAAAAAGCTCGCCAACAGACTACTTTCGATAATGACAAGGCTACTATCTATTGGAGTGACAAAAATATCGACAATAGACTACCTCCATAATGACAAGGCTACCATCAATTGGAGTAACAAAATCTCGACAACAAACTACCTTTGATTATTACATGGCTACTATCCATTGGAGTAACAAAAATCTCGACAACAAACTACCTTCCAAAATGATAAGGCTACCATCCATTGGAATAACAAAAATATCGACAACCAACTACGTTCCATAATGACAAGGCTACGATCCATTAGAGTAACAAAAATATCGACAACAGACTACCTTCCATAATGACAAGGCTACCATCCATTCGAGTAACAAAAATCTCGACAACAGACTACCTTTGATTATGACATGGCTACTATCAATTGGAGTAACAAAAATCTCGACAACAAACTACCTTCCAAAATGATAAGGCTACCATCCATTGGAATAACAAATATATCGACAACAAACTACGTTCTATAATGACAAGGCTACGATCCATTAGAGTAATAAAAATATCGATAATAGACTACCTTCCATAATGACAAGGCTAGCATCCATTAGAGTAACAAAAATCTCGACAACAAACTACCTTCCATAATGACACGGCTACGATCCGTTAGAGTAACAAATATTTCGACAACACACTATCTTCCATAATGACATGGCTACCATCCATTGGAGTAATGAAAATATCAACAAGAGACTACCTTCCATAATTACAAGGCTACCATCCATTGGAGTAATGAAAATATTAACAAGAGACTACCTTCCATAATGACAAGGCTACCATCAATTAGAGTAACAAAATCTCGACAACAGACTACCTTTGATTATGACATGGCTACTATCCATTGGAGTTACCAAAAACTCGACAACAAACTACCTTCCAAAATGATAAGGCTACCATCCTTTGGAATAACAAAAATATCGACAACAAACTACGTTCCAAAATGACAAGGCTACCATCCATAGGGGTAACAAAAATCTCGACAACAGACTACCTTCCATAATAACAAGGCTACCATCCATTGGAGTGACATAAATCACAACGACAGACTACCTTCCATAATGACACGGCTAAAATCCATTAGAGTAACAAATATTTCGACAACAGACTATCTTCCATAATTACAAGTCTACCATCCATTGGAGTAATGAAAATATTAACAAGAGACTACCTTCCATAATGACAAGGCTACCATCCATAGTAGTAACAAAAAGCTCGCCAACAGACTTCCTTCGATAATGACAAGGCTACTATCTATTGGAGTGACAAAAATTTGGACAATAGACTACCTTCCATAATGACAAGGCTACCATCAATTGGAGTAACAAAATCTCGATAACAGACTACCTTTAATTATGACATGGCTACTATCCATTGGAGAAACAAAAATCTCGACAACAAACTCCCTTCCAAAATGATAAGGCTACCATCCATTGGAATACCAAAAATATCGACAACAAACTACGTGCTATAATGACAAGGCTACGATCCATTAGAGTAACAAAAATATCGACAATAAACTACCTTCCATAATGACAAAGCTACCATCCATTATAGTAACAAAAATCTAGACAATAGACTACCTTCCATAATGACAAGGCTACCATCCATTGGAGTAACCAAAATCTCGATAACAGAATACCTTCCATAATGAAAAGGCTTCCATCTACTGGAATAACAAAAATCTTGAGAACAGACTACCGTCCATAATGACAAGGCTACCATCCAATGGAATAACAAAAATCTCGAAAACATACTACATTCCATAATGACAAGGCTACCATCCATTAGAATTGCAAAAATCACGACAATAGACTACTATCCGTAATGACTAGGCTACCATTCATTAGAGTAACAAAGATATCGACAACAAACTACCTTCTATAATGACAAGGCTACCATACATTGTAATAACAAAAATCTCGACAACAAACTACCTTCCACAATGACAAGGCTACCATTTAAATGTAGTAACAAAAATCTCGACAACAATAGACTACCTTCAATAATGACAAGTCTACCATCCATTAGAGTAACAAAAATCACGACAATAGGCTACCTTTTGTAATGACTAGGCTACCATCTATTAGAGTAACAAAGATATCGACAACAGACTACCTTCCATAATGACAAGGCTACCATCCATAGTAGTAACAAAAAGCTCGCCAACAGACTACCTTCGATAATGACAAGGCTACTATCTATTGAAGTGACAAAAATCTCGACAATAGACTACCTTCCATAATGACAAGGCTACCATCAATTGGAGTAACAAAATCTCGACAACAAACTACCTTTGATTATGACATGGCTACTATCCATTAGAGTAACAAAAATCTCGACAACAAACTACCTTCCAAAATGATAAGGCTACCATCCATTGGAATAACAAAAATATCGACAACAAACTACATTCTATAATGACAAGGCTACGATCCATTAGAGTATCAAAAATTTCGACAACAGACTACCTTCCATAATGACAAGGCTACCATCCATTGGAGTAATGAAAATATCAACAAGAGACTACCTTCCATAATGACAAGGCTACCATGCATTGGAGTAATGAAAATATTAACAACAGTTTACCTTCCATAATGACAAGGCTAACATCCATAGAAGTAACAAAATGCTCGCCAGCAGACTACCTTCGATAATGACAAGGCTACTATCTATTGGAGTGATAAAAATCTCGACAATAGACTACCTTCAATAATGAGAAGGCAACCATCAATTGGAGTAACAAAATCTCGACAACAGAGTACCTTTGATTACGACATGGCTACTATCCAATGGAGTAACAAAAATCTCGTCAACAAACTACCTTCCAAAATGATAAGGCTACCATCCATTGGAATAAAAAAGTATCGACAACAAACTAAGTTCCATAATGACAAGGCTACCATCCATTGGGGTAACAAAAATCTCGACAACAGACTACCTTCCATAATGACAAGGCTACCATCCATTAGAGTAACAAAAATCTCGACATCAGACTACCTTCCATAATGACAAGGCTACGATCCATTGGAGTAACAAAAATATCAACAAGAGACTACTTTCCATAATGACAAGGCTACCATCCATTAGAGTAACAAAAATATCGACAACAGACTACTTTCCATAATGACAAGGCTACCATCCATTAGAGTAACAAAAATCTCGACAACAGACTACCTTCCATAATGACACGGCTACGATCCATTAGAGTAACAAATATTTCGACAACACACTATCTTCCATAATGACAAGGCTACCATCCATTGGAGTAATGAAAATATCAACAAGAGACTACCTTCCATAATAACAAGGCTACCATCCATTGGAGTAATGAAAATATTAACAAGAGACTACCTTCCATAATGACAAGGCTACCATCAATTGGAGTAACAAAATCTCGACAACAGACTACCTTTGATTATGACATGGCTACTATCAATTGGAGTAACAAAAATCTTGAAAACAAACTACCTTCCAAAATGATAAGGCTACCATCCATTAGAATAACAAAAATATCGACAACAAACTACGTTGCATAATGACAAGGCTACCATCCATTGGGGTAACAAAAATCTCGACAACAGACTACCTTCCATAATGACAAGGCTACCATCCATTGGAGTGACATAAATCACAACGACAGACTACCTTCCATAATGACACGGCTACGATCCATTAGAGTAACAAATATTTCGACAACAGACTATCTTCCATAATGACAAGGCTACCATTATTGGAGTAATGAAAATATCAACAAGAGACTACCTTCCATAATTACAAGGCTACCATCCATTGGAGTAATGAAAATATTAACAAGAGACTACCTTCCATAATGACGAGGCTACCATCCATATTAGTAACAAAAAGCTCGCCAACAGACTACCTTCGATAATGACAAGGCTACTATCTATTGGAGTGACAAAAATCTCGACAATAGACTACCTTCCATAATGACAAGGCTACCATCAATTGGAGTAAAAAAATCTCGATAATAGACTACCTTTAATTATGACATGGCTACTATCTATTGGAGAAACAAAAATCTCGACAACAAACTACCTTCCAAAATGATAAGGCTACCATCCATTGGAATAACAAAAATATCGACAACAAACTACATTCTGTAATGACTAGGCTACCATCCATTAGAGTAACAAAGATATCGACAACAAACTACCTTCTATAATGACAAGGCTACCATACATTGTAATAACAAAAATCTCGACAACAAACTACCTTCCACAATGACAAGGCTACCATACATTGTAGTAACAAAAATCTCGACAACAGTCTACCTTCCATAATGACAAGGCTACCATCCATTGGGGTAACAAAAATCTTGAAAGTAGACTACCTTCCATAATGACAAGGCTACCATCCATTGGAGTAATAAAAATCTCGACAACAAACTACCTTCCATAATGACAAGGCTACCAACCATTAGAGTAACAAAAATCTCGACAACAGACTACCTTCCATAATGACAAGGCTACGATCCATTAGAGTAACAAATATTTTGACAACAGACTACCTTCCATAATGACAAGGCTACCATCCATTGGAGTAATGAAAATATCAACGAGAGACTACCTTCCATAATGACAAGGCTACCATGCATTTGAGTAATGAAAATATTAATAAGATACTACCTTCCATAATGACAAGGCTACCATCCATAGTAGTGACAAAAAGCTCGCCAACAGACTACCTTAGATAATGACAAGGCTACTATCTATTGGAGAGACAAAAATCTCGACAATAGAATACCTTCCATAATGACAAGCATACCATCAATTGGAGTAATGAAATCTCGACAACAGACTACCTTTGATTATGACATGGCTACTATCAATTGGAGTAACAAAAATCTCGACAACAAACTACCTTCAAAAATGATAAGGCTACCATCCATTGGAATAACAAATATATCGACAACAAACTACGTTCTATAATGACAAGGCTACGATCCATTAGAGTAACAAAAATATCGACAACAGACTACATTCCATAATGACAAGGCTACCATCCATTAGAGTAACAAAAATCTCGACAACAGACTACCTTCCATAATGACACGGCTACGATCCATTAGAGTAACAAATATTTCGACAACACACTATCTTCCATAATTACAAGGCTACCATCCATTGGAGTAATGAAAATATTAACAAGACACTACCTTCCATAATGACAAGGCTACCATCAATTGGAGTAACAAAATCTCGACAACAGACTACCTTTGATTATGACATGGCTACTATCCATTGGAGTAACAAAAATCTCGACAACAAACTACCTTCCAAAATGATAAGGCTACCATCCTTTGGAATAACAAAAATATCGACAACAAACTACGTTCCATAATGACAAGGCTACCATCCATAGGGGTAACAAAAATCTCGACAATAGACTACCTTCAATAATAACAAGGCTACCATCCATTGGAGTGACATAAATCACAACGACAGACTACCTTCCTTAATGACACGGCTACAATCCATTAGAGTAACAAATATTTCGACAACAGACTATCTTCCATTGGAGTAATGAAAATATTAACAAGAGACTACCTTCCATAATGACAAGGCTACCATCCATAGTAGTAACAAAAAGCTCACCAACAGACTACCTTCGATAATGACAAGGCTACTATCTATTGGAGTGACAAAAATCTCGACAATAGACTACCTTCCATAATGACAAGGCTACCATCAATTGGAGTAACAAAATCTCGATAACAGACTACCTTTAATTATGACATGGCTACTATCCATTGGAGAAACAAAAATCTCGACAACAAACTACCTTCCAAAATGATAAGGCTACCATCCATTGGAATACCAAAAATATCGACAACAAACTACGTGCTATAATGACAAGGCTACGATCCATTAGAGTAACAAAAATATCGACAACAAACTACCTTCCATAATGACAAGGCTACCATCCATTATAGTAACAGAAATCTAGACAATAGACTACCTTCCATAATGACAAGGCTACCATCCATTGGAGTCACCAAAATCTCGATAACAGACTACCTTCCATAATGAAAAGGCTTCCATCTACTAGAATAACAAAAATCTTGAGAACAGACTACCGTCCATAATGACAAGGCTACCATCCAATGGAATAACAAAAATCACGAAAACATACTACATTCCATAATGACAAGGCTACCATCCATTAGAGTTGCAAAAATCACGACAATAGACTACTATCCGTTATGACTAGGCTACCATCCATTAGAGTAACAAAGATATCGACAACAAACTACCTTCTATAATGACAAGGCTACCATACATTGTAATAACAAAAATCTCGACAACAAACTACCTTTCACAATGACAAGGCTACCGTACAATGTAGTAACAAAAATCTCGACAACAATAGACTACCTTCAATAATGACAAGGCTACCATCCATTAGATTTACAAAAATCACGACAATAGACTACTTTTTGTAATGACTAGGCTACCATTTATTAGAGTAACAAAGATATCGACAACAGACTACCTTCCATAATGACAAGGCTACCATCCATAGTAGTAACAAAAAGCTCGCCAACAGACTACCTTCGATAATGACAAGGCTACTATCTATTGGAGTGACAAAAATCTCGACAATAGACTACCTTCCATAATGACAAGGCTACCATCAATTGGAGTAACAAAATCTCGACAACAAACTACCTTTGATTATGACATGGCTACTATCCATTGGAGTAACAAAAATCTCGACAACAAACTACCTTCCAAAATGATAAGGCTACCATCCATCTGAATAACAAAAATATCGACAACAAACTACATTCTATAATGACAAGGCTACGATCCATTAGAGTAACAAAAATTTCGACAACAGACTACCTTCCATAATGACAAGGCTACCATCCATTGGAGTAATGAAAATATCAACAAGAGACTACCTTCCATAATGACAAGGCTACCATGCATTGGAGTAATGAAAATATTAACAACAGATTACCTTCCATAATGACAAGGCTACCATCCATAGAAGTAACAAAATGCTCGCCAGCAGACTACCTTCGATAATGATAAGGTTATTATCTATTGGAGTGACAAAAATCTCGACAATAGACTACCTTCCATAATGACAAGGCTACCATCAATTGGAGTAACAAAATCTCGACAAGAGAGTACTTTTGATTATGACATGGCTACTATCCATCGGAGTAACAAAAATATCGTCAACAAACTACCTTCCAAAATGATAAGGCTACCATCCATTGGAATAAAAAAATATCGACAACAAACTAAGTTCCATAATGACAAGGCTACCATCCATTGGGGTAACTAAAATCTCGACAACAGACTACCTTCCATAATGACAAGGCTACCATCCATTAGAGTAACAAAAATCTCGACATCAGACTACCTTCCATAATGACAAGGCTACGATCCATTAGAGTAGCAAATATTTCGACAACAGACTACCTTCCATAATGAAAACGCTACCATCCATTGGAGTAATGAAAATATCAAAAAGAGACTAGCTTCCATAATTACAAGGCTACCATCCATTGGAGTAATGAAAATATTAACAAGAGACTACCTTCCATAATGACAAGGCTACCATCCATAGTAGTAACAAAAAGCTCGCCAACAGACTACCTTTGATAATGACAAGGCTACTGTCTATTGGAGTGACAAAAATCTCGACAATAGACTACCTTCCATAATGACAAGGCTACCATCAATTGGAGTAACAAAATCTCGACAATAGAGTACCTTTGATTATGACATGGCTACTATCCATTGGAGTAACAAAAATCTCGACAACAAACTACCTTCCAAAATGATAAGGCTACCATCGATTGGAATAAAAAAAATATCGACATCAAACTAAGTTCCATAATGACAAGGCTACCATCCATTGGGGTAACAAAAATCTCGACAACAGACTACTTTCTGTAATGACTAGGCTACCATATATTAGAGTAACAAAGATATCAACAACAGACTACCTTCCATAATGACAAGGCTACC